AGCAAAGCCTCGAAGCCAACTCCGTGCACCCAAGAGTCGCAGGAACAGGACAACACTCAGACCTTGAACCAGGAACAAGCAGCATCGTTCAGGAAAAGCGTTGGCATACTCTTGTATGTCAGTCAGGACCGCCCTGACGTGCAGTTTGCCGTGAGAGGTTTGGCCTCCAAGATGTCGGAACCAACACATGGTTCTTGGAAACACTTAGTCCACCTAGTGCAGTACATGTCGAGAACTGAAGGATACCATTTAGTGTACAGGAAAACGCCTAGAGGACTCAGTAATCTCCATGAATCCATCAGGAATGGTAACTACGACTTTACAGGAACAAGGCCCAAGGAACACCACCTTTTGGAAGTCTTCAGCGATTCAGATTGGGCAGGAAAGAAGGACACAAGGCGCTCAACATCTTCAGGAATTGTTTGCCTAGACGGTCAGTGCATTTACTCCTTTTCTAGGAACCAGAAGTCGGTTAGCTTGAGCAGTGGTGAAGCAGAGTACTACGCAGGAGCGTCAGCAGCGTCAGATTCTATATTGTTGAAGGAAGCAGTAGAATTCTTGACCAGGAAACAATGCAAGGTACACTTGTACATGGATTCTTCTGCAGCTAGAGGAATTATTACAAGGCAAGGTGTAGGAAGAGTCAAGCATTTGCAGATCAGGACCCTTTTTCTTCAAGACCTCCACAAAGAAGGAACAATTAGTGTTCACCCAGTAGGAACCAAGGAGAACACAGCCGACATAGGTACCAAGCCCCTTTCAGCGAAACGTATCAGACTGTTGTTGCACTGGCTAGGTTTTCAAACCAGCGAGAACGAACCAGTAGGCAGAGAAGAGCTCAAGGAACACAAGGCCCAAACACAAGCTAAAGCAGTTGTAAGAATGATCAAGAGCCCAGGAACTTTGTCTTTTGCAGCTTTGTTGTTTGCAGGAATTTCAGGTATTTCAGACAGTCTTCAGATTCAGAGTTTCAAGGAACAGTGTTTTGAGAGTTGTGTTCAGGAAGAAGAGTTTCAGCCAGACTTTCAGGAACATGTTTTCTGTTGTGCAAGTGCATGTGAGCAGGACGGCATGTGCAGTGACACGAGTGCATGTGAGCTAGGAACGTCTGCAGGAACAGCGCATGGAACAACATGTTGTGAGATGCTTTCGCAGCTCAAGGAACTCTGCGGAACACTCGCGGAACGCTCAGGTATCCAGGAACTAGTTCGCCCGGTAGCAGAAGGTCAAGGAACCTTAGAACGACAGAGTCAAGGAACCTTAGCAGCCATGGAAGCAAGCGCGAGTTCGAGCAAGAACACAGCGGAAGTTTTCAAGGAACTGGAAATTTTGAAGGAAGCGGCGACAGCCTTAAGGAACGCTTCTGATGAAAGGAACTTGATCGCGGAGTCGATCAGGAAGAACACAGAGGAAGCTGCGCGTTTGCGCAAAAGCCAGGAACACGTGGCTGGTTGTGTGGAGTCCTTGACAGGACAAATCTACGACGTCAAGCACCAGGTTCAGGAAATGGCCGAACAGAACGACAGAGACCGGCAACAGGTCAAGGAACACATGGCCTTCGTCCTAGGTACATGTGACGCCGTAAAGGAACAGCTGAACCAGATGATGCAGGACTTCTACGAGCAGCAGCAAGAGGAACAAGAAGAAGAGGAAGAAGACGAAGAAGAACAAAGGAAAAGAGAAGCCAAGGACCGAGAACTAGAAGGTGAACTACGTCGTGAAGGACACGGACAAGGAACAGCACCGTCGAGAGCTACGTCACCTACGTCCCAGGAAAGGAAGGAATATTCGGACCGAGGCTACTTCGAGGGCATCCAGGAACGAGAGCAGGACAACGAGAACGAGAACGAGGCCTACGTCAGCAGCTACGTTGGAGGAGAAGATCCCGGGGAGTACCCCGATGAAGGAACAACAGCAGCAGCAGAGGAAGAAGAAAGTGAGGAAGCAAAGGAAGAGAGAAGAAAGAAGAAGATCGCGGAGATCAACGCCAAAAGCAAGCAAAGGCTCAAGGAAAAGGAAGAGGAGAAGAAGCTCTTTCCGTACCCCTACGACTACGCCAGCGAATGGAAGGAATACTCCGAGAACGGCGAGATCTACAGGCAACACAGAGTTACAGGAGAAAAGCAGTGGGTCGACAAGGACTACACGTACAAGCACGAGAAAGGAACAAAAGGAAAGAAGGAAGGAAAAGGAAAAGGAAAGCCAAAGGCAAGAGCAGAAAGCACAGGATTTCGACCTCGAGATGAAGATGATCGCAAATACTGGGAAGAACAGGACAGGATCTCAAAGGAACAGAGAGAAGCAAAAGCAAAAGCAGAAGAGGAGAAGAAGGCAAAAGAGGAGCAGATTGCCAAAGCAAGGTTGATTCTGGAAGCGGCAGCAGAAGAGCAGGAGAAGAGAGACAAGGAAGCAGCAAGGCAGGAAGCAGCCGCAGCCGCCGAGAGAAGGCGAGAGGTAGAAGCAGCAGCCAAAGCCAAGGCAGAGAGAGAAGCAAAGGAAAAGGAGGAGACCGAAGCAGCAGCAGCCAGCAGCAGCCAAAGAGGAGAAGGAAAGAAAGGAGCAGGAGAAGAAAAGAAAGGAGAAGGAAGCCAGGAAGAAAAGAGAGGAAGATCAAAAGGCAGCGTCAGCGTACATTGCCAAGAAGGAAGCAGAAAAGAAGGCAGCAGCAACAACAGCAACAGGATCAGGTGAAGCAGACAGGATCCAGAAGCTTGAAGAAATGATGAAGGAGATGATGAAGGAACGCAAAGAGGATAAAGAAAGGATTGCAAGCCTTACACAGGAGCTTGAGAGCAGAGGATCAGCAGCCGGGTCGCAGGCACCCACAGAACCTGACACAACACCAGCAAAGGAAGAGGAGAAGCCAGAAGCAAAAGGAACAGGAAAAGCAACAGGAAAGGAGCCACCGAACGTCACACAGCACAAGCAGAAGGAAGAAGACAAGGACGACCCAGAACTGTCCGCCAAAGGACCAGTGAACGAAGCATCGTTCATGAAAGGAAAAGGAAAAGGAGAGTTTGAAGGAAACTGGTTTGCAGTCTACAGTTTCCAGAACAGGAAATACCAGTGGAAGTGGAACGAAGCCAAGACACAGTGGTACTGGTATTCAGGATCAAAGGAAACAGGTTGGAAAGCAGCGTCAAAGGACAAGCAAGGAAAGGAAAAGTGCAAAGCGCAAGCAAAGATGAAAGAAGAGTGGCTAAAGGAACAGCTTCAAGACCAAGAGGAAGCTAAAGACAGCGAAGAGGAAGGCAAAGTAACCTTCCAGTGAAGCAAAGGAACCGCGAGCAGTACTGAGGCCAGAGAGCCGAGGAAAGAAGCAGCAGGACACAGGAACCGTGGCACAGCCCTTTTTGTTTCTGTGGTGATCTAGGTAAAGTGCAGGAACGTCTTTTGTACAGTCGAGCAACCTTGGAGAGGATTGCGAGTGAACGTGCGCATACGTTTGCGATGAGGAACAGTGTTTGTTTTGCAAGTGAAAAGGAACTGCAGCGTGTTTACTGTTTGTCAAGGAAAAGTCGGAGTCACCTCAGTCGAGGAACTTTCGCTAACTCCGAAGGCGGGGTGTTAAACATTCTGCCAGGAACAGTAACACAGCTAGTGCAGTACAGTTAATGTACAGGAACAGCCGTCACGCACACGCGACGTGCAGGCTCGAGACCCCAGGAACAAAAGTGTCCGACAGTCTTTGTGGGTAGGAACCCTTAGTGAAGCCCGTTCTTTAACAGATTTGCACACGGTTTCGGTCTACATGCACCTATGCATCCTGCAATAAATTGCAATACACTACAGGCAGCGGATCCCTAACTAGGATGTTGCTCAGGAGTTCATTTATTGCAGAATCCGGTGTCACACGTGCCTCCGTATTCCGTATTACACAGGGTTTCGGTGTACATGCCCTTCTGCATTCTGCATACGTTTACAACACACTAGAGACAACGTGGTGTGGCAGGCTCGATCAGTTTCGTTTATTGCAGAATTCGGTGCCTCACATGCATCCGTATTCCGATTTGCGCATGGTTTGGGTCTACGTGCACCTGTGCAATCAACAACAAATTGCAAGACATTGAAGGCATCGTGACACTGCTGTGGAATCCCCAGGTTGCTCGTTTTTGGAGACAGTGGGGCATAACACTACATCTGCGGGTCAAGTTGCTTCAGGAACGAGTTGCATTGGAAGTCGGCTAGTTTGCTGTTAGTTCTTTAAGTGAAATGCGCAACTCGGCCATCGTGTTTCTTCGATTGTTACAAGGTCATCCTGTGATTGTTTGAGCGAGGTGCCCGCCCCTATGTCTACAGCAGCCTTTGCTATAATGCCGTGCCAGCCCGCACTCCATGGCCATACCTACGAGCAATGCTGAGCCGGACCACAGCTGCGAAACGCCGGTGACTGTGGTGGCCTGTGACACACTAATTCCACTTTTGCCGTCCCCTTTGGTGTTTTTTTTCCGTGCTCCGAAGACTAGTATTTCTGAGCTGCCCCGAACCGTTTTTTAACGGGCCTTCGCTCAACATGCTTATCTTGCAGACGATTTATCTCAGAATGGGTCCGTCATGTTCAAAGATTGCAGAATATCCTAAGCCACACGTTCAATATTGCATCCGGCAGTATTGAACGTTGCCCCTTTAACACATGGGGGATGACAAGCAAGAGATGCTCGACAGGAAGGCTGGGGAGAAACATGTGAGAAGAGATGCCGCGGTGAAGGAGGCCGAACAGCGTGAGCCCAGCGACAACGACACATAAAAAACGAGTGTGAGAAACGCTAGGACTTATCCGGCTGCTTTGGAATTCGTTGTCGTCGGACGCAGCCCTTGACACTCAGCTGGCCCGAGACGACAGCGACCGCTTCATGCATAGCCCGCCAGATAGGCAACTCCGGTCCGCTACAGCGCAGCATAGTTGCCGAGTAGTTTTTTCCAGATGTATGAGTTTATCACATTTGAATTTGCGGCGTGCGAGAGATTTACATGAACACACATGGAATTGCCAGGCATATATGAACTCCAAGTTTCTGCCGTGGGCTCAACTTGTGGAGCAGTAAAAGCATCTTGCGCGCGAATGGCCCGGAGTGATCGTTGTGAGGTCCGGGGTTCTGTCTGACTTGCTGGGATCTCCGGTGCCTCGGCGAGAGTACAACATGGTCGTGCTGCATCCTCTAACCGAGTGACGTTGCTTGAGGTGCTGATTTTTTCCCTCGGGCTTATGCTCACTGGAGTTCTTAATATGGCCTTTGCTGCCGTCAGCACGGTGCGGTGCTCTGTCCCAAGCCTCGCTGCATGAAGCTTGATCGAAGGGTGCGGATTTCGCAGGTTCCCCTCTTCACTGCGATCTGGGTTCTGAATGGCCTCTTCCAGGAGAATATTTTGTGTTCGTTTCCAGGGCCTTGCACTTGTTATTGCGAGTTGTGCCAGGGCTGCGGAGCGACCCCGTGCAATAAGATGCTGGTGAACTGGTTTCCAGCAGAGCTCCAAGCAACTCCCAAGACTTCCGAGATTGTCGTTTGGCGCTTTGCCAGAGCCAGGCCAGAAGTCGCGGGAAGTGGTGGAGTAGTTGGAATGCGCCGGAAGCTTGGACAAGTTTACAAGGGAGGTTTTTTGGTTGAGCCGCTCCGTAAGCTGCGAGGTCTCACAACATCGGTGGCTTCTTAATTCCACTCCTGGCAGGAGCGGAGCTGCAGAAGCGGACAGTATCAGCCTATGTCAGCCTTCGGCAACGTTTCCTTCCCTTACGCTTCGTTCCCTTCTGAGAGGAGGCTTGGCTGCGAGGTTCGGGTGGCGCTACGGGATGCTTGGGCCGGGAGCCATCGCCGTCTTCGCTGGACTCCTCGCCCTTCTCACCATGAAGGCGCTAGGATCCTGAGCTGATCTGAGCTGCCCTTCACTGCAGTTCGCTTGCAGGACTCGCCAGAGAAAGCAGGCTTGCCTTCTGCGGAGGACTCCCGCGCATCGCACCAAATAACTTCTCTGCTGGTACCCAAAGGCATCAGCTCGCCCTTATGCCGGAAGGGCCAGGTTCAATTAGTATTTGTGCTTGATAAAAATTCTTACAGAAGCACGGCAACGTACCCATCGGGAGCCTTCTGATTTCAGCCTCGCTCAGCCTATGTCGCGTGGAGTTCCGTAATCCTGTCCCAAACACACGTCGCACGTCGTCTTGCTGCACATCACATGGCGAGCCATGGCTTCCAGTTCGAGTTCTGGCCAGCCAGCGATCTCAGAGCCCATCAGATGTATTCCGATTCCCAGAGTTAGAGATTGAGGGGGTAGGAAGAGGGCATGTGCTACGGGAGCGAAAGAGCGAAGTGACAGTTCTGAGCTCCTCTGCCCAGCTGAGGCCGAGAGCGGCAGCTCCCGCCTCGCCCGGCGGGGCCTCGCCCGGCGGGGCCTCCGCCTCGTTCCAGTGCGGCATCGCTGCCGGCTTCTTTACGACGGCTCTGCTGAATCCGTGGGCCAGGGCCGCAATGCAAAAATGGCCACCTTTTTGGAAAGTCTTTAGAACCCCAAAAGCAGATTCCTTTCTGAGAAGGATCGTGCACTTTACTTGGCGATTGTCAATGGTCGGCCGTTCTTCAGCAGGCATGTGCCTTTTGGCCGTTACAGTACTTGCCAGATCTAGAAGCATCCCCTGCATTAGCACCCGATTGCTGACAGTGTTTCCAGTTGCTTCCTTCAAACACTCGGCGGACCGTCGTGTGTGGTGTGGCAGGGCCAACTGGCGAGAACCATATCGAGGCCGCAACTGCAAACAGCCGCAGCGCTGCGATTTCCCTCCGGGCAGGCATCACACAGACGCTTACACAGCGGTCTCTCTCGACCGGCATTTACTTTCCACTCGAGGAGAAACACGGGCTCTCGGCCGTGTCTGCACTTGAATTGTTTGTGTGTGTTCCCGGAGCCCGAGTGCAGGAGCTGTGTGTTCGTGCCACGGGTTCTCAGGCCTTGGGCGGACAGGTCGGAGCCCGTGGAAAGCGTATCTTTCAGCGCAGCTGTCGTCAGCTGTAGGCTGGAGGAGTGTTGTGCGGCGTCCTCCTGAATCCTTTGAGCTATGTGAAGTGAGCTGTGAGCTGAAATTCGCGAGAGTCAGGGCTCCGAAAAGTGTGGGTCGCGGAGGTATCAGATGTGGAAGGAAGACGATGTGCGACGATCCTTTAATCAGACTGTCTGTTCCTCAGTCCTCCTGCGCAGCAGAAGCCAAGCATTTTGCTATTGGCCGGAGGGCATGGGATAAAAAGAGTCTTACGTTCTGCTGCAGGGTCTAACATGTATGTCGAATCCCAAAGCCAGCCTTGGGCATTGCGCGAACCAGCAAAGGGACGCTGGGGGCAGCGAAGAAATCTTGAATATCGAGATTCCTGCAGCAGCTACTGCTGCTGCTGCTGCTGCTGGCACGGCAGCAGCAGAAGCAGCAGCCACCGCAGCCCTCCTCCTCCTCCTCCTCCTCCTCCTCCTCCTCCTCCTCGGTCATCGCCACCTATGCTCTTCGCAGTATGGAAGATATGGCAACGTTTATACCTGCTTTCCCAGGCAATGCGCATGCTGCGCAAGGTTGGCCCCAAGGTTTTCCTTCGAGGTGGACAATGCAGATCATCACGCGATCTGCCAGCGAAGCTGTATGAAGAAAGGCATCATTTCGACGGCATTTCGCGACGGAACCTTCGGGCTATGCTTCTCTTTGCGAAAGTTCTTCCAGGCAGGTGTGCACCAGACAAGGATGCGCCACAGAGACATTTTGCCTGTGCAGGGAAGCGGTCCGGGACTCGAACTCGGCTGGAGCGCGGCTACGCTCTGCTCTCTGCTCTGCTCTCTTCGTTTCGAGGCCCAGAGCCGAGGAGGTCACAAAGTGCTCATGACTTCTGTGTTGCTGTGCTCTTTGCAGCCCGCCGCCCAACTCCACCCTGCGGGTCAAGGGTCGGGGTTTGAGCAAGAGCTTTTGAGCCCTTTCCAAGGCTGCCGGCACCACACTGAGCGCCCCCTTCAACTACATCAGGCGATGTACAAACGGAATTGGGGGAAGAGAGTAGCCACATAGATTTTTCTTGCTACCCCACCCAACTCCATCTAACCCCGGAGTGGGTCGGCCCAACCCAGCCCACCCACCCACACCCACACCCACACCACACGGAGTTAAGGAGTCCATCAGGACACTTCCACTCGGTTCCATTTCTCAATACGAGGTAGATCTTCAAGACCGTCCATAATCCTTAAGCCCTGAGTTCAACCTGTGGCAAGAACTGGCGGGATCAGACGCGATTGAAGCAAACATGTTAAATCTCACTGCTCCGATACACGATGGCAACAATGTACAGCGATGATTGTCACTCCGAATTGATCGAAACTGCAGGTACGTGAGCCAGGCGTCCCCAGCTCATATCAGTGATCTGTAACAGCCTCTTCGTTGGACTGCCACTGTTACGCACTGCTGAGCATCGTTGATGATAAATGCACCAGAGACCTCTAGCTTAGAATCGAGGGCTACACACACACACACACACACACACACACACACACACACACACACACACACACACACACACACACACACACACACACACACACACACACACACACACACACACACACACACACACACACACACACACACACACACACACCACACACACACACACACACACACACACACACACACACACACACACACACACACACACACACACACACACACACACACACACACACACACACACACACACACACACACACACACACACACACACACACACACCACACACACACACACACACACACACACACACACACACACACACACACACACACACACACACACACACACACACACACACACACACACACACACACACACACACACACACACACACACACACACACACACACACACACACACACACACACACACACACACACACACACACACACACACACACACACACACACACACACACACACACACACACACACACACACACACACACACACACACACACACACACACACACACACACACACACACACACACACACACACACACACACACACACACACACACACACACACACACACTGCTGTTTTCTGCTGTTTCGGGCGTAGGGTCGAGTTGACGCGGCCCCTTGTGGGTGCAACTAATTAGGTGAGACAGAAAAGTCGATCTACCAGTTCCCAATCACGAAACAACCTGGAGACTGTCGCACCAAAAGTCCAGGGGATCGGAGGAGGGGCAATGCCTCGGGGGGAACTGGATCAGGCAGAACAAGCCTTGTAGGGATGCCTTGGGTCCAGTGGTCAACAGACGCCCGGATGATGTCCCAGGCCAGCACAGCACCAGGAAGCGCGGCTGCATAGGATGTGGTATCCCCGGGTGGGTCATGTAGGGACTCAAGTGGCAAGCCTATTGTTGATAAACAGTAGCAACACTCAGGGTCGGCGTGGGCAAGATAATCCACCTCGGTCCCGGCCGCACGGTCAGCAAGAGCATCACGATGCTGGTAGCGGAGCCAACGGTCCTCTGGGACAGAAGGTAGGAGTCCAAGAGGAACAGGCCCGACCTGTACCCAAACAGAATCAGGAGAAGCCGCGGAGGGGGTGGGCCACGTGACACTATGAAAGGCAAGGGAATCCAAATAAAGCCCACTAAGCCGAAAGGTGTCGGTGGCAGGAAGGCTGGAATCAACGTCTGGTACCAGCCATGAAACCAGATCATTGCAGCAGAGCCAGTTGGCGGCCTCACGGAGGATATCCCGAGTGCCTTCGGAGACGGACTGGTGCGGGTCCGAAGTGATGCGTTGCCAGCAATGGGCTGTGACACGTAACCGGGCTGCTTGTAGGCAAACGCATGAGAAGGCTGTGCGGAGACGGGCCCAAAGCTCGTTCTCACCTGCCGTGGCAATGACCCCATCATGGTCTATGTGCAAGAGGCAATCCAACACATCCGCAGAGGGCCGGGCGGATTCTTCCTCAACGACAAACTGTAGGGGGCCTCTGCAGGGCCCAGAGGCCTGCAGCACGGGCATGAGGGCAATCCCATCATCGGTTGCCTTCTTGCTGCCAACTCCTGGCTCAGGGGTGTGGCGGGCGCTGGTAGACAGCAACCGGCTGCGACAAATGCGGCTGTACCCAAGGTGACGGCTGAGTTTGGTCGCAGAGGTGAAGTGCTTGAGGCATGCAGGGCACTGTGTGCCGGGAGCGAGGCGCCGCATCTCATCCGTACGCCCGTGGGTGGAAAAAGCGTGAACGGACCACGCCTGGTAGTCCTTGAAACGCCTGTGACATACCGCACAGCACTCCTTGGCCTCCTCCTCATAGTCGGACTGAGCAGAGACGACGGCCCCAACTTGCTGGAGTTGACGTAGCAACAAACCCTGGTATCGCTGGAGCTCAGCCTGCCATCGGTCCTGCACGAGGGCGTACTGTTGTGCCCGACGGATGCGTGCCTTCCACTTGCCAGGATGTTGTTTGGCCTCATCTCGCCAAGCCTCCCACGCAGAAGTCCAGTCCGGATACCTTCTATCTGGGTCAGTCCGCTCCCAGAGCCACTGGACGGATTCTGCGGCGCAGCGCATCCAGGTGCTCTCCCAGTGGGCAAGAGCCCACAACTCGGGGACTGATAGCACAATGCAGGAAAGCAGATAGCGAAGCCTATGAACGTGCAGGTAGGTAACAGCAGTTGGGATTCCGGCTAAGGCGAGGGTCTGTGCTGTACCGAGTTTCCATGCCTGTGCGCAGTCATATGCAGGACGGAGCATTTGGCTGGCCATTCCCCGCAGAGCCCCAGTGAGCTTCCGAATGCATTCTGGGGACGGATCCGGCCACGTACCTGACCCATAAAAGAGAGTCGAAGCGACCAAACTGTCAAACAGTAAAGCCTTGTCCTTGGAGCCAACCTTTGGCGAGGAGAAGACTTTCTGCTTTCGGGAGTTGAACGCAACCCAGGCCTGAGCCGTTCGTGCTTTGACTTCTCGCAGAAGACAGCCACGGTGGTGAAGAACACCGCCTAAGTGCTTATAGGTCGCTGTCAAGCGCAGCCGGGCAGTTGTCCAGAGCCGGCAGTGGAGGGGAATGGTTCCTCCCTGCTCAATAAAGAGCTGCTGGCGCACCTGCTTGGCATGACGAGCGCGAAGGTGTACAAGTGCCTCAGTGTTACCTCTTTTGAGGTTTGGGAGGAGGGCGTGCTCAAGGCATTTGTCCAAGAGTGTTGACGCCCCTGCGGTCAACCGCTCAACAAGCTCGCGGGAATTCGCGGCCTGCAGGAGCATGGACAAATCGTCCATCCAAGTTGCGTCTAGCAGGGTAATGGTCTGGGTAGGGGCATGGTCCAGTGGCACTAAGTTGCCAAGCATATCCGCATGCCACGGGATAGCTGGTACGTGTCCCGCCTCAGCAAGGGCAGAGCGGACCTGCTTCAGAACCCGTGCGAACAACAGACTGAAAACGAGGTCAGATAGGGAATCCCCTGGCCGGGATCCAATCGCCGTGGTAATCAGCTCATCCTCACCAGCGAAACAAAACCACGTGTTCTGAAGTGTCTCCTCAAGGGCGCGGGCAACCCATGGGCTGGCTCCCGCGGCGGACGACAGCGGCAACTGCTGCAAGTGTCGCTGGATGTCGTGGTAGACTCCGCTAGGCATATGCACTGCACGACATGCAGCAGCAATAGCCTCTTCTGTGAGGGGACCTCCTGTCACCAAAGGCCTGACGATGCGATAAAACGCTTCTTGTAAGTCTAAGAAGAGGACTCCATGGCAGGAGCCCTTCTGCAGGCAGGCGGATTGATACATTCTCGTGACATGGGCCGGCACAGTGACCGGATAGCCCGGTAAGCCTCCTACTTGGAGAGGCGATGCCACGTTTTGCAGTGCTGGGACACACTTCTTGCGAAGTAGTTTGTGCAGAGACTTGCTCACGACCGAGGAGACGAGTATCCCCCGATATGAGGAGCAGAGTTGTGTCGAGCCTTTGTGTTTGTAGACACAGTGTAAAACCCCGCCCTTGTGTTGGACCGGCTCGGCGAGGGTGAGCAGGGACTTGAGCTGAAGCTGATAGATGGGTCTCGCGAGCAGTGGGGCACAGAAGTGCAGGAGCTCACCTGGCAGCCCATCAAGGCCGTAAGCTCGATCTGTTGCAGTGTCCCTTAAGGCCCACTCCAGATGGCCTAGGGTCGGGGCATCGCCGTGTGAAACAAGGTAATCCTCGAGATCCTTAGTCTCCTGTCTTGAGATGCAAGCATGTACGAGGTCAGTCGGGGAGGAAAGGGAGCCCGCCTCTATGGAAGAGAAGTGCTCAAGCCAGCATTGCTTGGCTTCCTCGTGTGTGGCTGCAAGCGTTCCATCAGCCCTTTCAACGGCAGGCAGCGGGGCTCGGTCGCGCTGTTTGCGCTTGGGTCCTCCAGTCAGCGTTCTGAGTCGCTGTACAATGGCTTGTGTTGAGGAGAACTCTGACGCGGCAGCTGTACTGCGGATGTGCTCAAGATGGTCCTGACGTATCGCACTTCGAAGGGCTTGGCTAGAGAGCCGCAGGTCCTCCAGAAAGACCGGCAAGTCACGAAGTGACCACAACACAGGGGCCCAGCAGGCAAGCAGGGTGTCAGAGAGTCGGCGGCGGTGGCGCCACGACTGAAACGCAGCCTGGAGGTGCCAGCCATTGAGGATGCGTGAGGCGCCCTTAACACGTTTGCGCAGCCATTCCCGTTTGTTGCGGAGCTGCCAGGTGGAAGCCTGGAAGTATTCATGTCGGCATGAAGACTTGCTAGCTGGGAAAGCGCTGGCAAGGTGATTGCGAAAATAGGCATCTATGGCCTGTGCGTGACGATGAACGTCAAGATCCCAGGGCTGGAGGGGGATGTTGCGGCATATGTGCTCGAGTGTCAATCGACCCTCGGGCGTACGCATGGCAGCGGTGTTGAGCCGGCTGTGTTTCCGGCCCGTGGCCTTTCCGATGGTGACAGTGCCCCTGACCCAAAGCTGGACAGCAATATGGTCGGCGCGGCTCTGTCCCCAATCTAATCGCGGGTTGGTTGTGCTCCCGCCGCGGGGCGTCTGCCACGAAGAGGGAACAGCAATATAATCTAGTCGGGCAGACCCAGAGCCTGTTGGCGAATACCAGGTATCACCTGGGTGGCAAGCATCAAAGGTGCTGGGGATCCACAAATCAAAATGATCCAACAGTCGGTAGAAGGCAGCAGGCGGGTCTGGATTCGGTGTGCCCCACACCAACTCACCGATGGCAGCCGCATGACGGTGATGCATATGCAGATTGTAGTCCCCCAAAAGGACTAGAAGGGCATCCTGAGAGACGCGACGAAGGAGGTGGTAAAGGGCCTCCCACCATGCCTCCCTCTCAGAGCTGGCACTGTGAGGGGCGTGTATACAGACAAACAAGACCCGGAGCTTGGCATGGGTGTACCTAACCGCAAGGATTCTGGGGGACCAATGGACTGCTAGGAAATCCCTGGGTTGGAAATGTACGGGACGACCGGAATCGTCCTGGAACATGGGGTGCTGTCGTCCGAACCAAAGTTCGACCCCACAGGTTCCGTCAGCCTCCTTTGCACTAGTAAACCTTATGTGGCTGTCGGAGACATAAGTCGTGCTGACCGCAATTCTTGTTTCCTGGAGAGCGGCAACGCTGATATGGTCAGCTTGCATCTGGTCACGCAAAAATCGGGCTCTCCCAACAAAACTCCCTTCCCCATTTGTCTCAGCAGGTGGCATGTCCTGAGGCGAAAGGGTTTGGACGTTGACTGTGAGTATATAGGCGTCAAGGACACCCTTGCGTAATCCACCGGCCTTTGTGCCAGCTTGTGTGTCCTGTATGCCAAAGAAAGCCAGACACTCAGTAGGAGAAGGCCTGTGTACTGGTGCAGAACGGGCAGCGACTAGGGACTGCCCCGATAGGGCGGGCCACGCATCAGGACGAAGCGTAGCCTCAACTGTAAGCCAGAGCCAGTGGAATGAATCACGACCAGCGAGCTGCGCAATCTGTCGCATTGCAATGGGGTCGCACGCACCCCGGCCTCGGCAGGCAGCTTTGGCAAGGCAGTCAGCGACCTCATTCCCTGGGTTGCCGACATGGGAGCGAGTGTGGCGTGTCCGCCGGGTTCCACTATGGACAGAAGAGAGAAGCTGTGAGGCAGCTCGGCATTTGCCCGATAGAGTATCCTGGGGGTACCCGCCGCCGGTACTGTCGAAGATGGCGATGGCTGAGGCGCAGTCAGAGCAGATGAGCAGACATCTACGCTGGCATATTGGGGTAGTTGGAGGCACCAGCATGCCGTCCAGAAGAGAGCGGCGACTTCAGCTGAGAAAGCCCCGGTGTCGTGCTCCCCTATGTAGTCAAAGCAGGCAGGGTCTGCTGCGAGGCGGGCGCCTTGCCAGCCTAGGTGAAAGGTTCCTCCATTAGTGTGGGCACACACATGGAAGGCCCAAGCTGCTTGTTCCCCGTCAAACGAGCCATCAGTATAGATTTCGACACCGTGAATGTCAGCATATGCAAAACTATCGTCTGCAGCGCTAATTGATCGGAGCCATTCTGGAACGTGGCAGGGATATTCAAGGGCAGGCAGCGGATCAAGATGCCATTGGCCAAGACGCAAAAGAGGGGCAACGTCATCAAAGGAACACTCGATTGGCATCTGGACCTTGGTGAGGTCAAACGTGCGACAAGGCGGGACACGATCTGCAAGACGCAGGACAGTCCCGGCTGGTTGTGTCAGCGGCTCAGTGGGTGTCGCAGAGCTCGTGATTGCGACATTGCCTTCAACTACACCAACATCCTGCATTGAAAAGTGATCACAGAGAGTGTCGAGGAGTGTACTGGCAAGGTAAAAGGCATAGAATCTGGTCTGCAAAAGAGACTGCTCCAGCAGAGTAGGACCCAGCCAGGAGGCAGGAACGGTGTAACCTAACTGTTCAGGAGATAGGTCTTGATGGGAGGCAGGTGCTTGAACACTGGAATGATTTCTACCCTCAAACCGAGTCCAACACTCAACCGTTTCAGTCGACCCTCGGCAAGGGGTGGCAATGGGTCGGAGGTGAGATGCTGGCGGTGCAATGGTGTCACTGACTGCACAGGTGACGCCATGACGGACCGAGAGTGCAGAGGTGTCCTGCAGGGGCTCACTGGTATGAGCGTCAATAGTTATACCCGCAATCCACGTGCTGTCTCCATCGGTCCGCAGGCAGTCAATGCCGCAGGATTGTTGCTTGGCAGTATTGGGCCTGAGCAGGATTCCTAGGAGTATGTAGAAAATGCCACTCCTATTACCGGCCCCGCCATTCCGGCTAGGTGTCGGAGGGGGTGTTTTGAGGCAATGCCAGTGCCCACAAGGCCTAGGCGGCGCGCATGGGAGCCTGGGGAAGTAGGATGCAAAGTGCCTCCCTCAACATGTGCAGATTGTCGGTCCGGAAGCCTGACGGGAGCGGTGGGGTCGTGTGCAGCTGTATCAGCAGAGGCAATGACGGTTCCAAACCCGGTGTCGTCCCAAACGTGAGACGGGTCCGGCTCAAATGAGACAGTGATGACGTCGCCGGGGCTGAAGTGCACGAAATGCTGGAGGGGAGGGGCTTCTGCCCATCCACCTGTAAATGCAACCCGAGAGCCAGGAGGACACCTAGCACGGAATCGGTTTTCAAGGGACCTCAAATTGAGGACTCCTTCGACATTGGCTGCCCACTCAACTCCAAGAAGAATGGGTCGGGCATCAAGGATGTATGGGAAGAGACCAGTGCCAGTAGCCTCAAGACGGATGTCGATAGAGGTGGCAATGACAGCAGTGCTAACCCAGACACCCTGAACAGCAAGGTCCCTAAAGGACGGCCTAGCGGGCCTGATCCGCAAGTCGCTCTCCGGGACATGAAGTTGTCCAGCCAAGTCTTGTCTGAGAACTGCCCGCCGTGCACTATCGAAAGCAAAGTGCCTGGGCCAATCGTCTGCTAGAACCCATAACCGGTCTCTCTGAGGCAGGACCGTGGGGCCGGAATGGGTCCAGCATTCTGCATCTTGCAACATGTCAACAAGCCTGGTGAGTACAAGGACCCCATGGTCGCGAGGCTGGACAGAAATGAGGTCTCCGTGCTCAAGTGCTGTGTTAGTTCCTGCGTTCAATGGCCACGGCATGTCCCGCACATAAATGTGTGGGTCTGGGGCAACCGAAGACCCGGCAAGAGCAAGTAGTTGCTGTCGATTGGCATGGGGTGGGGCCGCAACGGCAAAGAAGTTGTCGGGAACAGAGCCGTTGTCGAACAGGACACACACATTCGGCCCGTCCCAAGGAGGGAGTGCAAGCAGGATGGCCCTGTCAGAATATGGTTGGTGGCTGGCAGGAATCAGCCTCGGAAACCAGCGTCTTCGAACCGCGTTCCTGGCTCTGGTGATGATCTGAAAAGCTCTCTGTGGTTCGCACGGAATGGGGAGACGCACAGTGAGCGTCTCGGGCGCATAATCAGGAACGCAAACCAAGAAAGTCGCAAGGACAGAGGTATCATTGTGGGCATGGTCCTGCCGAGTATATCCGGCATACGCAGCATCAGTTCCGGCAGGGGGTTCATGATGGTCACGTCGCCCCTGGGCATCTGGCCTGGCCGGAGTGGACCCGGTGTCTGCAGGGCCGAGTCGGGATGAGCTTTCCGATGTAGGGGAAGCCCCAGCCGTGTGCTGACGAAACCATTGTGTATGTGGGCAATGCGCCACGACGCCGCAATAGGTCTGCAATCTATCAGTGCGCAATGCCAGACAAGGCCTGGATTGCCATGAGGTGGGTGTCCAACTGCAAGGACGGAGGTACACACAATCCCCTCCAATGCAACATCGACTGGAACTGGGTTGGCGGCAAACAGGCGCATGCGGGCAGGATCAGCCCTCGTCGCTCCTGCGATGGCATCCCTGTATCGCATCGGGTACCTAGTAGCCTCAATGCATAGACGGGCGGGTCCCTTATGTACTAGACAATGGGCCTCGGTCATGGCCGGTGTTGGGAGTGTGGCGTGACCGTCCCAGAAGTATCGGGACTGCAGCAGCGCACCCAGGGTGTAGTTGACAGGATGCGGCGACCCGATATGGAGAAAGGTAATCAGAGCTCCAGGGAACAGATGCACCGGGTCCTCGTCAATGGGAACCTGATCGACCCCAAAAAGGACCTCATACTCTATTCCTCGAAGGAGTCCGACAAGCTTGACAAGCTCAGGTTTTGAGCAGTACTGCGGTGCCTGAACCAGGAAGAGGCGGCCATCTATTGATGTGGTGTCCAAACAGACAAGGTCAGTGCCATGGGCCCATGGGGGGAAAGCCGCAAGAACTGCTACCCCGTGTGCTGGCTGCGGTAAGATGGATAGGAGGTTGGGAAACAGGGCAGCCGAATCATGTCGGCGAGCAACCTGTGCAGCCTCAATTGCCTCATCTTGTGCAGCAGGAACCTGAATGGTAACAAGCAAGTGCTCCGGGACATACTCAAGGCGCAATATGACACAAGGAATTGTTGTCAGTTCCTCCTCATGCTCAGAATCAGAGGAAGGTGGGTCCTCAGCTATCCCAAGGCCGAGTCCTATGTGCCGAAAAGGAGGATCCGTTATCCAGTGTCCCCCAAGGCGTCTGGTGGCCCATCGGAGCCTGCTGAGGTCCCTGCGCTCGGCTTGGTTGCGGCATGCAGGCTCTTGGAGGAGCTTGTCTTCACAGGTCTGTGCTTGTCGTCGGCAAACAAGCCAGAGAACAATACCATAACTGATGCCAACCCCAAGGAGGAAGGCAAGGAGGTGCAGACTTGCAACACTCCAACAGTCTAATCTAGTATCGTCAAAGCAGTGATGACGGATATCAATGGGGATACTCCCGCGGCAGGTTGAAAGGCTGCTGGCGGTACTGGGCTGAGTCAGCCCGAGTACAACCCCTAGAGTGGAAACCGCAAGTGCTCTATCAGACCCTGGAACGGTTGCAGGTCCAGTCGTGGCTCTACTAGGTGACCTGGTTCGTGACCTTGTCCGGGACCTTGATCTAGGCTCGGAGAGAGGGGAATACCTGACTGGCCTAGGAGGAGGGGGGCCTGCTGGCGGTGCAGAAGGGTCGTAAACCGCATCTGGTTGCTCAGGGTCGGAGTGACACCCGGACTCCTCTTCCGATTCATCGGCATCAGTGGAGCTACTTTCGTCGGTACTCCAAGGATTATCTGGCTTAAACCCGAACACGACAACAGCCCAGGTTCCTAGCCGACCTCGTTGATCGCACCCCCGACAGAACACTTTTTGTTGCGCCTGCTGGTGATGAGCTTACCGATGTCGTATACCGAGGGACAATCTGTCGGGATGTTCTTGCGATCTACCCCCTGACCCCTACAGCAGATCGGACAGGAATTCTGGTCTTCCTTGATGCAAGGCAGACAGGACAGGATGTATCGCACATCTACCTCCCAACACCGGCAGCTGACCCACATATGCTGATTCGGTACCTACACCTGCGGCCACCACCATGCTACAGGATTGCGGTCTGCCCTAGACCAGGTAGATCAGGGACCTTAGAGCTGACCGAAGGAGGGCAGGTGTACCAGGGGACCTGCTGGCACTGTACGTCAACAGGTTCGGCTGGCAGTTCAGGCTGGGCAAGCCACCATTGAGGTCTGTCAAAGCGAGCTGTGAGGGTGCAGCACCACTGGGCTGGAACGCCTGGTGGTTGATACTGAATGACACAGCCAAGAGTCGCTAGGATGGTATCGCCGGGCTCTAGGGCCCGGGAGCATCCCTGCGCGTAGATGCTACAGTCAAGGTGCCCATGGTGCGAGGCCTCTCGAAAGCACTCATAGTGCGAAACGTTTTCATGCGTGATGTCAGCATAAACTGGACCTCCTAATGCGCGAAAGTCATGAACAATGACCTGCTTGTTAACCTGTGGAATCCACTTCGGTGCGACCACAATCGATGCAAAGTCTGGTCCGAGTTGTGGTACTGTCGGGGCAGTAACAGTACAAAAAGGAAGGCGCAGTTTATGCAAGCGGTCTCGAACAGCATTGTGAAAAGTGACGAGATCAAATGGAGGGCGGAGCGTCAGTCGTAGGACCTCGTGCTGGTGCCTGGGTGCAAGTACGAGACAAACGCCTTCAAAGGATGGCCTCTCAGGGTCTCCAACCTCAGGTGGCAGATGGAGGGGGGGGATAGGGAGCTCAGCATTGTTTTCAAGTGGTCGCTCGAGATCATGTCGCTGAGCCGCCTGCATTAGGCGGATTCTGCCATCAAGCTCTTCAAGATCTGGTCGGCCAGCTACATTCGGAACACCGTTGCCTAACCTGTCTGGTCGCAATCTAACATAATGTTCGGCACCTTGGACGACATCGTGCCATTGCTGTGGCACGGCCCAAACCTGCTGTGGTAAGCACCCGAGGGCTAGCCAACCTAGCAAGCTCCAGAGGTTACGAGGGTAGTTGGGATGGTGAGCCGGACGGCAATGGCCAGCCTGGGTTTTTGGGGAGGTCCTACTGCCTATGCGCCCTGACGGACTCCTGTGCCGACCGAAGTTAGCAACGTCACTGTAATTGGAGTGCTGGGAAGGCGAAAAGGCGGTGGCAGGCAGCAGGATGCCACAAGGAATGCCCCTAGTTGGTAGAAGAATAAACCACCCCAAAGGGGTGTGCTATGCCTTCAGTGGCCATATCAACAGGCGTAGAAGGGCGCAAAAGGTCAGAAATGCCAGATGCAGGAAGAAAGGGCAAAGGTATTCACCAGCCCATCTGCACACAGCACCGGCGACATCTGTTGAACCGGGAGACCCTTAAAGGGCACTAAAGCCCCAGGACGGTCGGGGCTAAGTCCAGATAGGGTGCTCGCCTGCCTGCTGGTGGACGTCCCAGAGCCACGATACGTCTCTTTGGCACACAGCAGTGAAAGGCCGGCAACGAAAGCGAGCCCGAAGGTGTACAGGGCCATACACCACGATGAGCACCACCACCCTTAGAAAAGTGGTCGGTGACATCCTTGCAAAAGGGACCTTCGTGCGTTGTGCCTGCATGACTAGGAGTGGGAACCCTACACTGGTGGACGTCCCAGCGCCACCGATACGTCTCTTGGGCACACAGTGTGTACGGGTTCGTACCTCGTGACGAGGAACGAGTTACGACTATGTGTGCTAGCTTACCTATTACTACTCGAAGCTATCGAAGGTAGCTTCGCTAGAAACGAAGTTTCGTTCGCTATCGTCGCTCGCAGGAGAGTTGCCTCTGACATGCGAAGACAGGATAGCTGTGACTTGGAATGGCTACGACGGTGTGTGACCGTGGCCATTCTGGATCAAGTCCCCCATCAGGGGGGGTAATTTTGAAGTAGTGGGGGATAGAAGGGGAACTTGGCTATTCAGCCAAGCGAGAATGGCCTCCCCGCGCTCCCCTTCTGCTTCGCAGACGGCTAGCCCACAGTCTCCAGCTACTACGGTGATTCCGGCTAGTCCTGGAGGCGAGGAGCCAGGGAGTCCAACCGTCTTGCCCACGGCTGTGCCGGAAGAGCAGGGCGTTGGACCGGCTACCCCCTCCGGAGGGATAGGGAGCCCCATCGGACTTCCGTCCTTGCGGGATAGCGCTCTTGTGCAGAAGCGTGCGGTGCTGGATAGATGCCATGAGCATCTGGCGTCGCGGGGCTTCGGTGTGCTCGAGTTGGCTACCCTCGGCCTAGAGGACGCGGAGGATATTGGGCACCAAGTGGCCGAGGGCTGGGCGTTGGCTACGACGAGTACATCGGCGACTCGATCTACCTGTGGATACAAGAGGCCCGGGAAGCTCGGGACCTGGTGGAGAGAACGTCGGGATACAGGGCGACTTCGCTGGCGTGGGTTAACCTCAGCAAGCGGCCGGCGATCGAAGGCATCGACCTTCAGGAGGATAGCGAGCCGGAGCCCCCGGAAGGGGATAGGCAGAAGCGCTTGGTCAACGAGGGCTCCCTGGCGCAGGCTAGGGAAGAGAGGCTACAAGCAACCTGGGCTATTAAGCTCAAGGAAGAGCTAGAATTGTGCGAGGCGCCGGTGCTGAAGAAGCTACAGGGGTGCCTGGACCCGGATAGAGCAGTGTTGGCGCTAGCGGGGAAAACCCGGGCTAGCACTCTCAAGCGCTACGTCTCGATACACGTGAGATGGCGGCTATGGCTACGGGAGGCTAAGAGTGGACGCCCCCCTGGGCTACCGGCCGACCTGGCCGACTACATCATGGCTAGGGGCGACGAGCCCTGCGGGCGAACGGTCCCCGAGGCGATCCTCAAGGCCATCAGCTGGATAGAGAGGGTCGCGGAATGGGCGACCGAGTCGAGAGCTACCTCAGGCAGGATAGCGTGGGCGATCAAGGATACGGTCGTCGAGAGGCTATCCTGGAAGGCGCCCTGGACGAGGCGAGCCCCCCGATATCCTGCGGCTATCCTGGCTAGGTGGGAGCGCCTGGTCCTGGATACAACTGTGGCCGTCGGCTGGAGAGCTTGGGCCTGGGCCAAGCTCCTAAAGGTTTGGGGCAGCTTGCGATGGTCGGACCTCCAGGCTATGGTCCCAAATGAACTGGCTATGGTGGAAGGTCGGCTATCCACCATCCTGCGACGGACGAAAACCACCGGGGCTAACAGACGCATACGGGAGCTACCTGTATGCATCTCGGAGAGAGCCTACTTCGAGGACCCTGGCTGGCTACTGGCGGGCTTCAACCTGCTAAAGAACCACGCGGGCTACCAGCGGGATTATCTCATGCCCAGGCTGGGCGAGAGAGGCGCCCTGGAGAAGAAGATGGCTACCTACGCAGATGCGATGGTGGCTATGGTGGGGATCCCGACGGTGGCCCGAGGCTACTGGTCGGAACACAGTGAGAGAGCAGTGCTACCCACCGGGCTGAGCCTAAAGCCGATCCCGCCGGCAGATAGAGATACGCTAGGGCGCTGGAAGCCCGAGGGCTCGGATACCTACATCCGCTCCTATGGCGGAAGGGTCGCCCGACTCCAGGCTATCTACGCAGAGGCGGCTAGAGCTCGGGACCGGGAAGAGCAGCTAGATGAGAGGGAGATTGCTGGCGACCTTGGCTTTTCCGGACCGGCAAGGCTAGCGAGCAGGAAGCTGAGAAGCTGTCTGGAGAGCTGCGACGAGAGTGGGCTAGCGAGCGCATCGTGGAGATGGTGGCTGGCCCGGGGATACCTGAAGAAGCCGTGGCGAGCGATCCTCCCGAAGATAGACCAGACTCCTCGGCTAGTGAGCCGGAGCTGGGGCCGGAACCCAACCGGAACCGGCCGAGGCAGCTCCTTAAGAAGGCTAGGTGCACGAGCTATATCATAGTTGAGCTTCCAGGGAAGAAGTACAGGCTACACAAGGGGGGCCAGGCCGGGTGCTGGATGGGCCGCCGTAGGATATTTAAGAACTCCCAAGAGTTTTCGGCGAGGCCCGAACCCAACCAGTACACGCATGTCTGTAGGCTATGCTGGCCGAAAGGCCGAGGCGAAGAGCCCCCGTCTGGTGATAGCGACACCTCTCAGGCTAGCACCGGCGACCAGAAGCCGGAGCAGGGAGAGGAAGAAGATTTCGGAGAGGTCCCAGCAGCAGAGCTGCAGGGAGCACCTCCGGGGATAGTACCCCAGTTGCCGATAGCACCGTTGCCGGCTATTCCGTTCGGCTGGGGACCGCCTTTTGCCTGAAGGGATAGAAACGCCGGGAAAGCAGCGGGGCTGGACAACGGGGGGATACGTCCGGGGGGGGCCTCTCGGGATATACTCTTTCCTTCCCATCTCTCCGGGGGCGGCGGGCCCAGGGGGAGAAAGAAGGGGAGAGAGGAGAGAGAGAGGAGAGAATCACGTTGTTGCACTTGCTGTCTTGTCTGCTGGCTAGGACGTAGGCTGCGAGGTTCTTAGGCAGGCTAGGCTGCATGCGCACATGTCCGGCTGAGTGAGCACTTGTGGGCTAGGGCATGGCACAAATGCACTTGCTGCGGCTACTGTGGCTAGGGTGGAGTTGGGCGAGCCTGCGTGCCCTCGTGGCCGGCTAGCGGCCCATGGCTACTGCCCCCAGCTGGGCAGACCAGACTGAGTCGGCTAGCGTCCAGGCGCAACGGATAGAAGCGCTACGCCTCTTGGAGGACTGGCTAGAGACTGACCCGGCTAGCTTGGCCGAGCAGATCTACGATCGGCTAAGTTTGGATAAGCAGCACGAGCTTCTCCAGCTAGTGCGAAAGGCTAGAGACATGAGGCTGGCCGAGTGCCAGGAGGGCGCCAGCATACAGCCTAACCCCGGCTATCTGCCAGGCTACTCAAGTTCCAAGGGGCTAAGTCTTGGGACGATATCTCTGCGGAGCTCGAGGCTAGTCTGTCCACCACCGAGGCTAGATACCTTGAGCAGAGGATAGAGAAGAATCGGCAGCTGGCCGGGCTACGACCACACCGACCAGGGGAGAGACCCTGGAGGAGGATAGCGTCACGGATAACGAGCTGGAGGCTACACCGTGGCAGGGGGAGGCCCCGGAGGCTAGCTGGTCTAGCGCCGGGCCGCCACCCGAACGGCTAGACATGCTACACGAGATGATGGCGAAGCTCAAGGAGCTGGAGGCGGAGGTCCGCGGCATGTTGCTAGGCAAGAGGAGCCCCGTCCTGGGGCAGAGGAGGCCAGCACAGGGGATAGCACAGCGGCGAGGCCCCAGAAGCCGGCTAGGGACCCGCCGGCGGTCCAAGAGTCCAAGGCTAAGAACAAGCTGCGGCAGGGGAGTGCAGCGGATAAAGAAGAAACGGCTACCACCCTGCCGTTCTCGGCTGGGCTAGACCCGGCCCAGGTCGTCAATCCGGGCCCGGGGCTACAGCAGGCTAGG